TTAAATTTTACGGACGTGAAGTACTTTTCATCCGATATTTGGATATTTGGAGTATGAAGTTTGCACGACTCTAGCTCGGGTAATCTTTAACTGATTTGAGATTCAACTTTACTTTTACCTTTATAAAAACCAGTATTTTAATTGATAAATTTCATTCGTAATTAAATTGGCGATTAACCAGACTATTTCTGAAATTTGGTTTACTATAACTAAAGTCTTGCTGATTTCTAGGAGTGCTAGCTTGCCAGAAATGTATCGATTCGGATTCAACTTTATTTTTTTCTATATCAGAACTAATACAAGGAATTTAAATTGAAAATTTTCATTTTAATTAAATTGACAATTAACCTGAATATTTATTAAATTTGCTTTACTATAGCTAAAGTCTTGCTGATCCTTAGAAGTGCTGGCTTGCTAGAAATTTATCGATTCGGAGTATCGATTCCAATTTACTAATTTTTAATAAAATTTGGAGGCTCTAGCTATTAAGACGTAGAATTTATTAATTGCATTTCGATAATGTTTTTATTCGATACAAACAAAATTTCGAGTCTCTAGCTCTTATGGATGCTGAAATTAGCCAAACGTGTTTAATGACTTTTGTTTTACTTAATGGATGTTAATGATATTTTCAGCATATGATGTGTATTCTATTGGCTTGGTTAAGATGCAAACGACTTTACATAATAGCTATCTCCAACAGAACTTTAATTTAAATAATTTGGGGAAATTTTGAGCTGGTATTCAAAATCCAACAAAAATCAAAATTGCATAGAACATACAAAAACTATATAAAAAATTTGTTCGCCATACGGCGATAACGTGGACGTAATTGACGATACTGCAGATGTCGATAATGTAGATTTCAATAATATAGGTATCTTTAATAATGATGTCGATAATGAATATGTCGATAATGAAGATGCCGATAATGAAAATGTCGATATGGATAATGTGGATGTAGATTTCGAAAATGTTGATGTCGATAGAGTAGATGTCGATACTTGAGATGTAGATGTAATGTAAATGTCAATATTGTCAATATTGTCAATAATGTCCATAATGCCGACGATGTCGATGTAGATTTCGATAATGTAGACATAATTGTCGATACTGCAGATGTCAATAATGAAGGTGTCCATAATGAATATGTCGGTAATGACGATGATGTCGATATCGATAATGTGTATGTAGATTTAAATAATGTAGAGGTCGATAATTGAGAAGTAGATGTAGTTGTCGATAATGTAGATGTGGATGTCCATAATGTCGATAATGCCGACGATGTATATGTAGATGTAGATGATGAAAATGTAGATTTCGGTAATGATGATGTCGATATTGTAGATGTAATTGGCTATAATGTTATATGTGGATGTCGATAATGTAGATGTCAATATCGATCATGTTGATGTAGATTTCGATAATGATGATGTCGGTATTATAGATGTAATAGGCTATAATGTTATAAGTAATTGTCTATAATATCGATGTCGATGTCGATAATGTAGATATCGATAATGTTTACAAGATCATAAATTGCCCCGCGAACAGAGCTGGAACATTGTCAGATTCGCAAATAAACTTCGTACGGAAGTGTGTGAAATTGAAAATGCATCTCAACAGGAGATTTTTCGTTCTGAAATCGAGGATTTTAGACGTTTCCTTAAAAAACACTATAATCGTCGCCTTGATGGTGAATGACAATCAGCCTGCGAACTTATTAAACTTACAACTTGCTTAATACGTCACGACTGATTAATCTCCTAATCGGAAGCTGCTATTTTCTTTAAATTACTCTGTTGGATCCGAATAAGCCGTAGATGGGTTTATGTATTGAAAATACTTGATTTTTCAACTACAACAATGACTATATCTCATACTCTTTTCAGAAAAATTGACTATAAAGACTCCATATAGATGGAATATAAAAAAAACAAGACCAGCAATTTGAAATGACCAGATGGGAAAGTCAATTTGACGGTACACTAAAGAGAAGTCGTCGAAATTCCAAACGCCAATTCGAAAAGTGCACTTCAAGTAGTAGCACTCAAGCATACGTACTGATATATATCCTGATAATGCAATCAAAAGCTAAATATTTTAAGCTTATTCTATATTATCTACGTAGTACAAATTGAACTTTATGCTGAATAACATGATATGATATGGAAAACAGTTTCTTCCGAACTTTCGTTTAACTCTGAATTAAGGAGTTCAACAATATTTGTAATTTTAGGCACCAGCGATTAAAAAGTTATGTTTTGATATTTCTTGTATATAATGTCGTGAGATTTCAGAACAATTCTCTAATTCTAGTACAAAAATTTCGTAATGACTCGCCTTTGAAAAGTGCAAAATCTATATTTTCGGATTACAGTCAAAGTATACAGAAATATTCGGACGCATATAGCCCCAACCACTAATAATTCGAACAGCATTTTTTATGTTTTTTACTAAAGATAACAAATACCAATGCATTTTGTCTTAAAGAGAATTTTATTCTCTTAACGACAACGGTAGATAAGAAAAAAATTACCACTATAAATTCGAACGCTGCGTAAAATGATTTACTATCATACTTAAAACAATAATTTAATAAGCATTAGAATTGTGTAACGTCCCCTTTGGCCTGTATTACGCATTTAACCCTTTTTCGTATTGAGTCCCACATCTCTTGCAACTTGGTTTTCAAGTCAGAAATGCTCCTTTGTGGCTCATTTGGAAGTTTGCTTCTTATTAGCCAATCAAAAACCTCCATTTGATTATATTCTAGTCAATTCTTGGTTCGTTCGTCTGCGCCGTCCGAGATATAATTTATTAACTGCATTTCAATCATGTTTTTATTCGATAACAATCGATAACGTTCACACATACAATACGATAACGTAGACGTAATTGTCGACACTGCAGGTGTCAATAATGTAGATTTCAATAATAAAGGTATCTATAATAAAGATGTCAATAATGAAGATGTCAATATTGAATATGACGATAATGAAGATGCCGATAATGTAAATGTCGATATGGATAATGTGGATGTAGATTTCGAAAATGTTGATGTCGATAGAGTAGATGTCGATACTTGAGATGTAGATGTAATGTAAATGTCAATATTGTCAATAATGTCCATAATGCCGACGATGTCGATGTAGATTTCGATAATGTAGACATAATTGTCGATACTGCAGATGTCAATAATGAAGGTGTCCATAATGAATATGTCGGTAATGACGATGATGTCGATATCGATAATGTGTATGTAGATTTAAATAATGTAGAGGTCGATAATTGAGAAGTAGATGTAGTTGTCGATAATGTAGATGTGGATGTCCATAATGTCGATAATGCCGACGATGTATATGTAGATGTAGATGATGAAAATGTAGATTTCGGTAATGATGATGTCGATATTGTAGATGTAATTGGCTATAATGTTATATGTGGATGTCGATAATGTAGATGTCAATATCGATCATGTTGATGTAGATTTCGATAATGATGATGTCGGTATTATAGATGTAATAGGCTATAATGTTATAAGTAATTGTCTATAATATCGATGTCGATGTCGATAATGTAGATATCGATAATGTTTACAAGATCATAAATTGCCCCGCGAACAGAGCTGGAACATTGTCAGATTCGCAAATAAACTTCGTACGGAAGTGTGTGAAATTGAAAATGCATCTCAACAGGAGATTTTTCGTTCTGAAATCGAGGATTTTAGACGTTTCCTTAAAAAACACTATAATCGTCGCCTTGATGGTGAATGACAATCAGCCTGCGAACTTATTAAACTTACAACTTGCTTAATACGTCACGACTGATTAATCTCCTAATCGGAAGCTGCTATTTTCTTTAAATTACTCTGTTGGATCCGAATAAGCCGTAGATGGGTTTATGTATTGAAAATACTTGATTTTTCAACTACAACAATGACTATATCTCATACTCTTTTCAGAAAAATTGACTATAAAGACTCCATATAGATGGAATATAAAAAAAACAAGACCAGCAATTTGAAATGACCAGATGGGAAAGTCAATTTGACGGTACACTAAAGAGAAGTCGTCGAAATTCCAAACGCCAATTCGAAAAGTGCACTTCAAGTAGTAGCACTCAAGCATACGTACTGATATATATCCTGATAATGCAATCAAAAGCTAAATATTTTAAGCTTATTCTATATTATCTACGTAGTACAAATTGAACTTTATGCTGAATAACATGATATGATATGGAAAACAGTTTCTTCCGAACTTTCGTTTAACTCTGAATTAAGGAGTTCAACAATATTTGTAATTTTAGGCACCAGCGATTAAAAAGTTATGTTTTGATATTTCTTGTATATAATGTCGTGAGATTTCAGAACAATTCTCTAATTCTAGTACAAAAATTTCGTAATGACTCGCCTTTGAAAAGTGCACGTGTTGGCAGGACCTTATAAGTACTCATTCTGCGGCTGAACATAAATCGTTACTCCAAATACGCTTCCAAAAGGGTAACCATCTAAAATTCGAAGGAAACATAATCCAGTTATAGTTTTGCAATGTTATAAAAGAACTATACAAAGATCAATAGTTTTTTTGTCAAAGTTCAAGAGAATGTTTTGAGAAGTTTTGAAGACAGTGAAGTCATATCGATACTCTGAATCAATACGATTCTTGCAAGCTAGATAAAATATTAAATATTACCCGAGCTAGAGTCATGCCAACTTCAAAATCTATATTTTCGGATTACAGTCAAAGTATACAGAAATATTCGGACGCATATAGCCCCAACCACTAATAATTCGAACAGCATTTTTTATGTTTTTTACTAAAGATAACAAATACCAATGCATTTTGTCTTAAAGAGAATTTTATTCTCTTAACGACAACGGTAGATAAGAAAAAAATTACCACTATAAATTCGAACGCTGCGTAAAATGATTTACTATCATACTTAAAACAATAATTTAATAAGCATTAGAATTGTGTAACGTCCCCTTTGGCCTGTATTACGCATTTAACCCTTTTTCGTATTGAGTCCCACATCTCTTGCAACTTGGTTTTCAAGTCAGAAATGCTCCTTTGTGGCTCATTTGGAAGTTTGCTTCTTATTAGCCAATCAAAAACCTCCATTTGATTATATTCTAGTCAATTCTTGGTTCGTTCGTCTGCGCCGTCCGAGATATAATTTATTAACTGCATTTCAATCATGTTTTTATTCGATAACAATCGATAACGTTCACACATACAATACGATAACGTAGACGTAATTGTCGACACTGCAGGTGTCAATAATGTAGATTTCAATAATAAAGGTATCTATAATAAAGATGTCAATAATGAAGATGTCAATATTGAATATGACGATAATGAAGATGCCGATAATGTAAATGTCGATATGGATAATGTGGATGTAGATTTCGATAATGTTGAAGTCGATACTGTAGATGTCGATACTTGAGATGTTGAGATGTAAATGTAATTTTCAATAATGTAGATGTCCGAAACAATAGGAGGCCCTCACAGCAAAATTGAACCGAATTGAGAAACTTAGAAAAAAGATTCAGAATATGAAAACGATATGACAAAGTTTCTAGTAAATCAGTACAGTAAGTTTGTCGATAAATTTTTTTGTTTGCATATCTTTAAACTTCGTCTGTTTTTTGTTTGGAAGGTTTTCAATGAGTTTTGAAAGATATTTTTTCTAGAAAATTGATTATCTATGAACTTATATTATGAGCATATATTGGTTACATAAGTTTGTATTGAAGTTGAAGTTGCGGTTATATTCAAAATTTTTTCTTAAAGATTAATGTTACAACTTAATTTTTTGACTGCTTACGATCTAAAAAGGATTGATCTTTATTGGTAAAGGAGTTAGAAATAATATATTTATAATATGATTTTTCGGTTTCGTCTCGCAAACCACAAATTAATACAATATATCATATAGTTGTCAAACTATCAAGAATAGAAGCGAGAGTAGTAGGCAAGGATATAAAGATATTCGATAAGCTTTGGGATCTTTGGGATATTTATACTTGAGTCTACACGAATACGTAATCCTACTTGGATTAGATTATACAAATTTAAAATCTATAAAATCAATAGCTACGAAACGGCATTCATACTGACACAAAAATCAGATAAAACGAACATTGCACAAAACCAATATTACTTTTCCCTTCTTATATAAAAATTTAACTCGATATTGTTTTGTATAAAAATATAATTAATATTTGTTCATTCAGCTTCAATACTTACATCCTCAATAACCGGTTGGAACTTCATAAAAACAGCAAATAGTAGATCCGTTATTGTGTTATAGAATCCTCGTAGTACATTACTTACGCGTCTGATGTAATTAGAAAGATGACTCTCAAAAATTGATATGGCAACTGCCCCTGTGAACGTGAATTTTAACATTGGTGTATTACAAATCTTTTCACAGGTTCGAGCTATATTTTTATTGGCCCGTTTATACATATCCATTGTTTCCTGTAGTTTAGTTGTATGTTTAGCACAATCTGCAATATACGCATCACTTAAGTCTCCACCATAGCTCAATTTAAAAACTCCAGGAGCAATCTTTCGGTCACAAGCCTGTATAAGAGATCTGAAGAACTTTCTCTCCTGTTCAGATAACGCCGCTAAAATATGATTATAATTTAAACAGACTTGTAATACACTGTTATAGACAAATCGAAGAGTATCTTGTTTCTCGAAAATCTTTCGTACTGGGCCTAACACCGAAAATCCAAGACGGGAAAAATGTTGTGCTTGGTCACAAATACTTAAAATGCTTGGATCTATATTACACTCTAGAAGGCCTTTCTTTTTCTTACTACGAGCAAGCAAAAATCGATCCAGCTTTTGATTTAAGGATGGGCTACAACAATTTTTTTGCCATTCATCATAGGATTTTCTCATTTCCTTATCAAACTCTTTTCTTAAGTTTTCAAACTTATTGAGTACGATTAAAGCTTCGGATACATTTGGTAACCATTCAGACGAATTTAATCGATTTCGAAGCCAAGCAAGTCTCTCAATATTGATGCGATAGCCAATAGCCCTTGAAGCATAGTACGGCACCCACGTCTCATGTAATTTGCTGCGATCCATTAAGCTATGTGAAGTTGAGTCCATTTCATTACAAAATAGTAGCCATACCTCTGTAACTTGACGCAAATACGATTTTCTTATTGAGCTGCGGTATGAATAGAAAAGCATCACATTTAGAGATTCGATAGCCTCTTCAACGTTGCATACATGTAGAAAGACATTTGACATAAGTCGTTGCACAGTCTCATCCATGCTTCGAACTGTTCGCCGATATTTAAGAACCTCTTCATACCAATCATTTTTATGCACATTAAGTATTAACTCTTTCGAATCGGTATTTAATGCTGTTAAGGTAGATAAAAACTGGCTTTCAACTAGCTCGGTTGTTTTTTCAAACTCAGGCCCAGTAGTACCTCCAAATTGTGGCTTAGGAATGCTCTCAGCTTCATCCAAACGTCCGAAAACAATCATAGACTCGCATATATCAATGACATCATTTAATCGCTCCATAAAAGCATCAACGTGATTGAAAATCATTGCATTATCTAAATTCCAACCTAAGCTACTATCAAATTTAATATTTTCTTTTGCCATAAAACTATATATTCCTTTATAGGTAAGGCAGCAGTTTAAAGATAAGTTACAAACTTTTATTCCGAATCGAGAACTGCCAGAAAGTATCTTATCCAAGTTAATCATTTCAGTGCAGAACCGAATAATTCTGTTACTTAAATCCCGAAAAAGTCCTGTTATCAAGTCACGTCTATTGTAATGCTCCGAATTTACCCAAATAAAATGTATAAGGTTAATTATCTTTGGTAATAATTGAGATAATACTACAGGGCTGTCAGTAAGATTAATTTCAGCACACGGATCCATAAGTAGGTGTAGATATTTTATATTTGACATAGCCCTTTCCATTTCGTAGCTTGACTCATAAATAAGTTCATCAATTTGTTTAATGTATACAGAGTGAGAATTGCGCAAAATTTTAATGATACTCTGTACATCGACTTGTTCCAACTGGGTATTCAAAGCCTGTAAGACTTCAACTATACCAACCAGAAATTAATACGTCAAATCTTGGTACTAGCAACATACTTACATCGGTAAAGCCAGAATTCATATTCGTCTTCTAACACAACGAAATCATTAGGAACGTTTAATGTCTTATCATTTAAGAGCGTTCGAATTTGTGTTGCCCAAAACACTGAAATGGATTCAAGATTTTTAACAAACTCGGGATCATATGAAATGTTTTCCCTTGGAATTTGTTTAACAATATACGGAACATACAACACAGTCATCCCCGACATTTTAAAATGCATTCCTGTTAAGTAAACTAGAAATTTGTCCAAAGCTTTGCAAAATCGCTGCTTAATATTGTCATCCCATTCTGAATGATTTCGAAATACAGGTGCATACGCTAACTCCAAAACTCGAAGAAGGCAGCCATCAACATCGTTGTGAATGGTTCCAAAATTAACAAAATCGTGAAACGAATCACTGGTAAAGATTTGATTAGGTGATCGAACAAAGTAACTTATATCAAGAATTGGAGCAACTGGAAATCCCAGACAGGCGGTTATAATATTGGAATCGTAAAACACTGTAAGCATTGGCTTACTAGGCTTTAATAACCACATTCTTATTATGTTAAGGGTGTCCTCACTCCAATCACTGTGATCAAGTGAATATAAAATAGTCATTCGTTGCACCATTTCTACTAAATTTTCCAATTCATCTTCCGCGTAAACGGTGGACGATAAATATGTTCGTATTGATTCATTTGACTCTAGATTTTTAATTCCATGACCTAATAATAGAGATCCCAATCTATAAAGTATTTATATGGAAAAAATACTTACCTTCATTATGATAATTGTCAAAGTCATCAAATTGAGGTTCGTTTTCTTCAGTTGCACCAGAAGAGGCCATTCCACTATACATGTTTCTCGATTTGATTTAATGTAAATCATTTAGAACTTAGTTTCTCAAGATTTGAAATACAAGTTGAAAGCTAAATTAGCCTACTTTGAGAATGGAAAATATTTACAAATTTTGGGTATATTAGAAATACTATTATTTAAAGTGGTACAGGTTCGAAATTTGATTATTTAGTGTTTTGTGCAAATTGTGTTCAATTTTTAAGCAATTGGTGCTATAAACTGAAATATTAAAAATATACTTATGTGAATAACACAATTTATATCTCGAACGTTTTAAAGCCCTCAAATTCTGTATTTAGTTTTATGTTATTTTATGCAATTTTGATTTTTGTTAGATTATGGATACCGGCTCCAAATATCCCAAAATTCTTAAAATTTAAGATTAGCTGGAAATAGGGCCATTATGTGAATGCGATTGCATCTCAACCAACCCAATAGGATATGTAGATTATATGCTGAAAATTTCATTAAAATCCATAAAGTAAAACAGAATTTATTAAGAAAAACGATTGTCAAATTGGTCCGTCTGTCCGTATGTGTGAACCCGTCGATCTCAGCATCCATATGAGCTAGAAACTATACATTTTTTTGTATCGAAATGCAGTTAATAAATTATATCTCGTACGTCTTAATAGCTAGAGCCTCCAAATTTTGTTAAAAATTAGTGAATTGAAATCGATACTCCGAATCGATACCTTTCTAGCAAGCTAGCAGTTCTAGAGATCAGCAAGACGTTAGTTATAGTAAAGGATTTAATAAATAGTCAGGTTAATTGTCAATTTAATTACAAATGCAATTTTTCAACTTAAATTCCTTGTATTAGTTCCGATAAAGAAGAAAATAAAGTTGAATCCGAATCGATACATTTCTAGCAAGTTAGCACTCCGAGAAATCAGCAAGACTTTAGTTATAGTAAACCAAATTTCAGAAATAGTCTGGTTAATCGCCAATTTAATTACGAATGAAATTTATCAATTAAAATACTGGTTTTTATAAAGGTAAAAGTAAAGTTGAATCTCAAATCAGTTAAAGATTACCCGAGCTAGAGTCGTGCAAACTTCATACTCCAAATATCCAAATATCGGATGAAAAGTACTTCACGTCCGTAAAATTTAATTTTTGTTTTTATGATAAGTTGTTACACTACTTATTTTGAGTTCCTGACCATGCCGTTCGGACTCAAAAATGCGCCATCCGTTTTCCAACGGGCAGTCATGCGTGCCTTGGGTGACTTGGCCTATTCATACGTGATTGTTTACATGGATGATATCATGATCGTGTCACCCACAGTCGAATTAGGATTGGAAAGGTTGAAAATAGTACTAGACATTCTCACAGATGCTGGATTCATTTTTAATGTTAACAAATGTAGTTTCTTAAAAACAGTCGTTCAATATCTGGGATATGAGGTAAGAGCAGGGGAAATTCGACCAAACTCGCGAAAGATTGTTGCGTTAACATCGTTGCCACCGCCACAGACGGTTTTTGGTGTACGGCAGTTTATTGGCCTTGCATCCTATTTTCGCAAATTCGTACCCGGATTCTCTCAAGTCATAAAGCCGTTGTATTCCCTAACATCAGGAAGGGAAAGTTTTGCGTGGTCTACTGAGTTGGAAAGCATTCGCAAGAAAATTGTGACTATTCTTACAAACGAACCAGTTCTGGTAATATTCGACCCGCAATACCCTATAGAACTACACACCGACGCTAGCTCAATCGGATTTGGTGCCATGCTTTTACATCGAATTAACAATAAGCTTCACTTTGTAGAATATTTTAGTAAAACAACTTCGCCAGCCGAGTCTAGGTACCACATGTCATAATGACATTATATTAACGGAACAGCCCCTAGAAGGAAGCAGACTCATCATGGCACTAAGCGAAGCTATGGTGGGCAGTGCCTCACAGTGGCTAACTCAAATTGCATATCCCGGCATTAAGTGGATTGAATTTAAGGAATTATTCCTCCGCCGCTACGAAAATAGTGAAACGTCGTCGGCAATGTTTCTAAATCTACTAAACAGTCGCCCAACTAACGGCGAATGTCTTGCGGTTTATGCTAGCCGTTTGGTGACCACTTTAACTTCCAATTGGAAAAACAAAAACATCGAAGAAATTGCTGTTTCAATTGTGCTCGCGAATTTAGCCAATGTGGATAACCGCTTGGAACGGATTGTGTTCACGTCAAAAGTTCAAACTAGAAGTGACTTGCAATCCGAACTAGGCGCATTCTCCTTTAAAAAACATCGTAATGTTGACCGTGATGACGACTCCGGACCTGGACCTGACGCCAAGAAGAGGAGAATATTGACAATAGTGTGCCATTTCTGTGGCAAACCAGGACATAAAATTGCTGAGTGCAGAGCCAAAATGCGACAAAAGGGGGACGCGACATCTCAGCGAGACAAGCCAACTGTTACTTGCTTCAAGTGCGGCCAGCCTGGACACTTCGCAAATCAATATCCGAAAAAGGAATCAACAAGTACACAGGGAGCATTCCAACGGAAAACTGTGAACCAGTGCTTTGTACCAGAGCCAACTGGAGTGATGATGCAGCTCGGTGAGACTTACCCAATTTCTTTTGATTCTGGCGCAGAGTGTTCACTCATTAAAGAGAAAATATGTAGTAAGCTAGCTGGTAAGCGTTTTAACAGCATTATCATGCTAAAAGGTATAGGCGATACTGGCATATATAGCACCTTACAAATATTAAGCCAAGTCACCATAAATGAGAACGCACTTCAAATATTGTTCCATGTAGTGCAAGATAATCATTTGAAAAGCGACATTGTTATCGGCCGCGAAATTCTTAAACAAGGATTTAATGTCACTATATCACAAAACAAGTTTAACGTAGTAAAAGCCAAAGCCGTAAATATTTGCTCAATAGATAGGGAACCAGTTGACCTTACAAATCTCGATACCGAATTGCGCGAGGCTGATAAAGACAAACTAATAAAAATGCTTGAGAATTACTCCACTGCACTTGTAAAAGGGGCACCATCTACACGAGTCACGACAGGGGAAATGAAAATTCGCTTGATTGATCCAACCAAAACTGTACAACGCCGGCCCTATAGACTTAGCCCTGAAGAAAGAGACATTGTCCGAGAAAAGTTAAGTGAGTTACTTAAATGCAACATCATTCGACCCAGCTGCTCCCCTTTTGCCAGTCCTATGCTGCTTGTCAAGAAGAAAAATGGTACAGACCGACTTTGTGTCGACTACAGAGAGTTAAACTCTAACACAATCGCAGACAGGTACCCTTTGCCGCTCATTAGCGACCAGATCGCTAGGCTGCGTGGCGCAAATTACTTCACGTGTGTTGATATGGCGAGTGGTTTCCACCAAATTCCTATCCACCCTGATTCCATAGAATACACTGCATTTGTGACCCCGGACGGTCAATATGAGTTCCTGACCATGCCGTTCGGACTCAAAAATGCGCCATCCGTTTTCCAACGGGCAGTCATGCGTGCCTTGGGTGACTTGGCCTATTCATACGTGATTGTTTACATGGATGATATCATGATCGTGTCACCCACAGTCGAATTAGGATTGGAAAGGTTGAAAATAGTACTAGACATTCTCACAGATGCTGGATTCATTTTTAATGTTAACAAATGTAGTTTCTTAAAAACAGTCGTTCAATATCTGGGATATGAGGTAAGAGCAGGGGAAATTCGACCAAACTCGCGAAAGATTGTTGCGTTAACATCGTTGCCACCGCCACAGACGGTTTTTGGTGTACGGCAGTTTATTGGCCTTGCATCCTATTTTCGCAAATTCGTACCCGGATTCTCTCAAGTCATAAAGCCGTTGTATTCCCTAACATCAGGAAGGGAAAGTTTTGCGTGGTCTACTGAGTTGGAAAGCATTCGCAAGAAAATTGTGACTATTCTTACAAACGAACCAGTTCTGGTAATATTCGACCCGCAATACCCTATAGAACTACACACCGACGCTAGCTCAATCGGATTTGGTGCCATGCTTTTACATCGAATTAACAATAAGCTTCACTTTGTAGAATATTTTAGTAAAACAACTTCGCCAGCCGAGTCTAGGTACCACATGTCATAATGACATTATATTAACGGAACAGCCCCTAGAAGGAAGCAGACTCATCATGGCACTAAGCGAAGCTATGGTGGGCAGTGCCTCACAGTGGCTAACTCAAATTGCATATCCCGGCATTAAGTGGATTGAATTTAAGGAATTATTCCTCCGCCGCTACGAAAATAGTGAAACGTCGTCGGCAATGTTTCTAAATCTACTAAACAGTCGCCCAACTAACGGCGAATGTCTTGCGGTTTATGCTAGCCGTTTGGTGACCACTTTAACTTCCAATTGGAAAAACAAAAACATCGAAGAAATTGCTGTTTCAATTGTGCTCGCGCATTTAGCCAATGTGGATAACCGCTTGGAACGGATTGCGTTCACGTCAAAAGTTCAAACTAGAAGTGACTTGCAATCCGAACTAGGCGCATTCTCCTTTAAAAAACATCGTAATGTTGACCGTGATGACGACTCCGGACCTGGACCTGACGCCAAGAAGAGGAGAATATTGACAATAGTGTGCCATTTCTGTGGCAAACCAGGACATAAAATTGCTGAGTGCAGAGCCAAAATGCGACAAAAGGGGGACGCGACATCTCAGCGAGACAAGCCAACTGTTACTTGCTTCAAGTGCGGGCAGCCTGGACACTTCGCAAATCAATGTCCGAAAAAGGAATCAACAAGTACACAGGGAGCATTCCAACGGAAAACTGTGAACCAGTGCTTTGTACCAGAGCCAACTGGAGTGATGATGCAGCTCGGTGAGACTTACCCAATTTCTTTTGATTCTGGCGCAGAGTGTTCACTCATTAAAGAGAAGATATGTAGTAAGCTAGCTGGTAAGCGTTTTAACAGCATTATCATGCTAAAAGGTATAGGCGATACTGGCATATATAGCACCTTACAAATATTAAGCCAAGTCACCATAAATGAGAACGCACTTCAAATATTGTTCCATGTAGTGCAAGATAATCATTTGAAAAGCAACATTGTTATCGGCCG